TCTCTCTCTCTCTCTCTCTCTCTCTCTCTACATATATATATATATAAACCCACTAAATCACAACTACATATGAGTCTAATGGTCCATATTGAATCTGGGCCGATCTGACGGTCACGACCTTATTTCATATTTTAATTTGAATTTATTTTTTGCAAATCAAATTACTTGAAATTTTGTACTTGTATTATTTAATAATATGATAATATAGTAAAAATATCAAAAAATAATTTGCAAAAATAAATAAACCAAAATACCCTCAGAAACTTTTCAAAAATATTTTGATCAATTTATTTTTTTTCAAATTATTTTTTTTAATACTTATATTAGATGTGATGGATGAAAAGAATGGTCGCTTAAAACTTCTTGAAACTAAGTTTTTGAAAATACAAGTTTTGGAAGAACCGAGTTTTAGGCTATCCATATTTTGGTAATATTTAAAACCTCCTTGAGGCCTCTCTTCTTCTCTGTCTATAAACATAGCGTTTGAGGCAAACCCTTAAGAAAAAAACATTCAAGAGGTGAAATGATCCAAGCAATACTAGAGGGTTTACTTTTAAAAATTTGTAATAATAGCGTATACGAGCCCCATCTCACATAAAGTGGCCTTATTCCCGCACTTATATATAAGTATTGATCAAGGGTGCCCTGGTACCGATTAACACCCCACTTGTAAACAGTTTATTAAGAGAGAGTTTATTAAGAGCTTTACTCAACCTTCCTAACATAGGGGTCATCGTAAAAATCTATTTAAAATTGGTATTTTGCTTAATTGAAAAATTTTTGTCTACTAACCAACTAAACTCATGACCAACTTGTGGTGATGCTACCTACTTCATGGACTCGCCCCATTTTTTTGACATCTTAGTAACGTCTTTCATTGCAAGTCGCCCCATTATTTTGACATCTTAGTAATGACTTTTATTCCAAGTCCTCGTGTCAAAAGCTGAACCAAATTTTCTTATGACCTCACATCCTGGACTTACTATTTCACATTCAATTATGTTCATCATGTTGTATCCCTATTGAAATAAGTAAAGCCTTACTTCAAAACTCAACGAAAATTGCAATTCTAGCGTTAAAAAATTTTCAAATCGGGCATCTCAGCTTTATTCATTATGGTTATAATTATAATAATAATAATAATAATAATAAACAACGTTCAATCTCTAAAATAGTATATATTGTAACACACTATCTAAACCATCCATTTTGTCCTAAAAATAAAGTGTTCACGGATCCAAATAATCTGTACTATTTTTTGAGATTCAAATTTTATAGCCGGGATTGAAAATTGATTTGAGAGCCGTCATGACAATTTTTGATGCTCAAAGTCCGTTTCAGATAAGAAATCAAGGTGAGGCTTTACTTTGTTTTCATAAAACCCAGACCTTACAAAACACAGTAAATCACAACAAAAAGAACCAGGAAACGTCCCGCTTTGCCTATAATACTCAAAATCACTTTTCAATCTACGATTGGATCGACCCAATCGTCTAACGAGAGCCACCACTCAAGGCTTCTTAAACTGTTTCCTCCTTTTTTTTTTTCTAATATCATCCATGGCAGCTCCAAAACAAAGAAAATAAAAGAGATACAAGAAGCAACAAAGACAGCGAGTCTAAGTTTTACTTCAATCCACCCTTCGCTCCCGACTCACATTCATCATGGGTAACACTAGATGGAATGAGTGATGGAGCCTTGGAGGATTGGTAGTAGCGGTAGGCAAGAAATGGAACCCCAACTGTCAATGACAAGCTGATACACCCCCAAATGAATCTCCGCGTCTTTCTCCTTCTCTGCCTGAGTCTCCGCGACATCTCTGCCAGTCGATGAATCAGCTTGAAAAGTCACCATGCTATGCATGCATATAATACCTATACAGGGCTAATACATAATGCATCACATACATGCATATGTACATGAAAGCATACATGAGTATATCATGATCACTGTACGATATTCTACCAGCTGGAGGTGCATGCTGCAAGATAAAACTAGGGTATGCTGGTTTGTGAAATCTAAGTGTATTTGGTAGATTTTCATCATTAGATTGTATAGATATGGACCAGTAGTGAAGGTTCAAGAGCATGTGCACCTTTGTTTATGAAATAGTGAAGATGGTAGACTGCTAGACTGCATGGGGTGAGGGTCATGCATCATTTTCTGGTGTCTTGTCCATCATTATTCAGAAATGGGACGCAAAAGCAGCAGTGGGTGTCAACAGTAGAGCTCAAGTGCAGGATTTACTGGTGTCAACATTAGACCCAATTGAGCACACACTGAAACACAGCTGAATCCCATGTGCAGATAAACATGCAGGGGATGCACCTGTAAATCCTTTTTAAACCATCTACCAATGCATGGGTATGAGGACATCTATGAGTTTCTTCTTCTTTTCCACATGGATTATGCACAAATACTGAACTGATCATTACAACAAAATAATAGATAAAACATATTTTTCAGTCATACTGAAGTTTCTTCCAAAGCACCACCTATAACAGACTTCGGTTGACCAACCATAAATTGATCTAGATACGAATAAATACCAATTTTCAGGTACAAGAATTGCTATATTGTCAAGTGATCTAGTGAGAGAAATACAAGGATGTGTGCGGGTCCATGAGTATGTACAGATTACCTGCTACTGAGCTTTTTGAAGCTTCAGGTATTTTGACTAGAGTATGAAAGGTCCATTATTATAACGAGTAGTCATTAAATGTTATCAACTGGTCAACAGCAACTTATCATATCCTGTTGAGCATTGGATGATATCTTTCTAAAATTCGAGGTCTATTAGCAAACTTCCCTATAGTTGGGGTGGAGATTGCTAGTGTACTGAGAAAACATAGTGGGGTGGCAGATAGTTTGGGTAATGGTGATGCAACTAGCTTCACTATATTTATCTTCCATATACAAGTGAAGGGGTGGCCAATCCTGCAAGGCAAGCAAAATTATGAGAATCATGGGGTTCACTGAAAACATGGAGCAAGAGAACTGATCAAACTTTTGAATCACTGATAACAAATTTGAGCATTCCAACTTTGAATATCCAGTAATATCTAATCCTCAGTTGCAAAGAACAATTGATTGGTCAAGGTGAAGACATGCGAGTGATATTAGGCACAGACCTTTGGTAAGCATCAAGATTAACTTCGCAAGAAGAATTTTTAAAGACCTCCCAATAGGAATTAGTAGCAAAAAATTCTATCATTAGAGGAACCATAACAATCACCGTCTTTGCATCAATAACACCATCAACGAAAGAAATCTAAAACATTAGAGGAGCCATAATGATCATTGCATCAATAACATCATCAATGAAAGAAATCTATTTTTAAAATCATTCCAACGGAAGACAGAGACTTTAGTGGGTAAGAAAAAGTCAGAACATACCAACAGCTTCCTGATTCCTCTGAGACATCTCTTGGTTGACTGTCTCGTAGTACTGGACCTTATCCTTCAGCCTCGCTATCTCACGATTCTTGGATTCGATAATTTCCTTGGCAGCAGCCTCTGCTTCAGCTAGGCCCTCAGCCCTGCCAATAGCTTCAGAAACAAACCTTGAAACCACTATGTTTTGGCAGAAATCATCCACCAAATCCATTTCAGACCCATCCAAATGAGGGAGGGATAAACCAATCTGAGATAACTGTTTGCCAACCCTCTGCCAGTTGCTACGCATTTGACTAAGGATTTCCTCGGCTTTCTTACACCTTTCAGTCTCCATGAATAGGTTCAACCTCACAGAGCGTAATTCATCCGCGAGGTCCAAGTTGGAGGAATGTAGTGATTGTACCACTGAGCCATCACTGGAGAGATCTGCAGGAATAGAAAGAGGTAAATAGTTGGGAAAAAAATGAATTTGATAACCTATTGCTGATATTGATATTAGAATGAGATAAATAATTAAATGAACCCAATCACTTCACGTAAACACAGACAAGGTATGATGGGAGATGCACCAATAAGAAAAAAGAAACAATTATAAAGCACCAATGCAAGCATAGAAGTACCAATACAAGCCTGATTGCTAACAAAAAGCCTACGATTGTAAAAGATAAGGTCAAAAAGTAAATACAGCGAGTGCAGAAGAATGGAGTGAAATAAGAGGAGCCTTTGAGATTTCTGAAGTTTCAGAGAGAGCTGATCAGCGATGGGCCTCAAAATTCCTAGTCCAAGGCATGCAGATATAAGAATCCACAAGGTCTGACCTGGCCAACATCCACAGAACAGGTGAGTCACCTTTAACGCAAAGAATGACCTAAAGGGAATATCCTATATATTAATGATACCCAGCTTTTGAAAGGCACCACTACAAATATGATATCAGAGGTAAAACTCCTAATGAAATTGTTTGTGTGATTGTCAAGGTACCCAGTATACAGGTCAAGACCAAAGAGAAATTCAGTGAAAGGTTGCATGGATTCTTCACCTACTTTCAAGGGCTTACACCCCCAGCACTGTGATTCCAGCTTTACATGAGGGAATAGTTGTAAAAAGGGTGCCCTAGAGTCTTGACGTTGACAGGTAAACAATAAGATGCGCAAGCAGTTGGGTGGGGTGGAGACTTGGAAAGGATTCATTTATTGAGTTAAGATGATGATTGCAAATTGGTTCAAGAAGTGGACTTTGGGTATAACCAAGCAAGAACATGACACATTTTGAGTAAACGCATCAGGCACACTGCAAAGGGAGAGGTACCGATGAGGATCAGTGTGGTGGGAACTGGGAAAATATATTGAGGGAAACGAGACATAAGGAACAGTGGTTGAGAAGAGGTGCAAAGGTACGAAAAAATGAAGGTATTCTGACCCAAACGTAGGCAACTGCCTCATTTTCTTTTCTTGGTGGCCGGGGCAGCAGGAACTTGAGTTAACTTCAGAGCCCTGAACAAGAAACAAAAAAATGCTTTCAACTGGTAACAGAACAAGAGAATTTTATCTAGCGAGAGAAATGAAAGCTAAATATAGACATCTTCAGCTGAAAATGGATGAGTCAGCAGAGGGAAGATAATGGGGTTAAAGTCTCCAAGGGATGGTGACTGATAAACTTGCCTCACCACCAAAAGGCTAGGAAACTAGAAAGTTGATTGCTACTATGTAGTTGAATTTCAATATTGATAATTGTAGTGAAGGGAATACAGGGCCCGTCAATGTGGTGGACTTTCTAGAGATGTTCCGGGTAACTTATAATTGGATTCCTTGTTATATTGGGTTCAAGAGCAGCAATAAATTATCTACTAGAGCATTTGTAAGCTATATGTCTAGGGAAAAGGATCCACCACAACCCTTTCAATGACTTTTGGAAAATGAATTCAGCACTCTCCCTGTCAAACAAAAAAAAAAGAAAGGCATCTCAGTCAACATGATAAATTGGCAAACTAGAGCAAATGACTTCTTGAAGTCCGGCTTCCCTCATTGAGGAGATTCTGAATATATCATTAATACCAGGGAGAATTACATACTCAACCCGATTCCTGAGATACTCCACAGGGCAGCCTCCAGAAAAAAGATTCTCTAACCCATTATCCCACTATTTTTTTACATCCCCCCCCCCCCACCAATTACCTTAGCACTAGGGACCGTAATATCCTTTGTCAATTATCAAGGAAGAAAAGAAAAAAAGATTCTATCAAGGAAGAAAAGAAAAAAAGATTCTTTCTTTCTCTTCTGCTTTCCTATCTCCCTAAAATGCTGATTAGCTCTCCTCCCTCCCTATTCTCTCTCTCTTTCTCTAACTTCTCCTCTTTCTAACACCAAAGTTTACTTCTATCTTCTCTGCACTAAAGCTTTATCTGCACTGGAGTTTTCTTCTATTGGTTACCATCTGAATGCTCGTGGTTTTTGAATGAGATTTGGTTACGAGAGCAGCTAGGCTTGTGGGTAAAAACTAGAGAACCTGAAAGGAGAGAATGATAGTGAACCCATTTGAAATTGAGCGAGTGTGAAGCATTGTGGGCAAGGATTGCAAGGTTCTTGCTTGTTTAGGAGATGATGGGAGGCAGGGGTCGAGCCAGGGGTGGAAGAAGCTACACTTAGTGAGACATCTGGCAAGCCTAGAGAGAGAAGAAGGGGCTCAACTTTTGCCTCCTTCGCGTTCTTACCCATCTTATTTGTTCCAAGATTAGAATGAGAGAACAACTTGAAACCCCCTTTATTTGTCCATTCAGTCTGCTTATCTTCATGGCCTTCTCTCAGTTCCCTGCCTTGAGAAAATCTCTCACTAACCATCTGGGATGGGGCATATCAGAAAGAGAAAGGAATGGCTGCTTAACTTCATCCTTCATGGTTTCACCCCTCTCCTTAGTGAATTCTTAGAAACTGGATCTAATTTGCGGTACATTCCCAAGTCTCCAGCCTCCATCTTGATGTCTACATCTTCACGCCACTTTTTCTGTTTTTTTTTGGTTTTTTCTAAATCAAAAGGTTCAAAATAAATTCCATTCTCATTCATCTTATGGGAGCTTTCTTGTGCAACTACAGAATGACCATCATTCTCTCTAATATACATTGAGTCTTCTTCTTCAATTACAGAGGGTATGCCATTATCGCTCAACTTCGGAGAGCTTTCATCACTTCCCAATTCACAAACCACTCTGTTAGCCTCTGGTGAATGCAAGCATTCTCCATTCCTGCATCTCCATAAAAAAATTTCACCTCAGTATCCAATTCACCCTCATCCCATGCATAATTTGGGATGTCTTCCGACTCCATTGGAAAACCCAACATGTCTTCTCCATGCATATTATCAGAACTCCTTCCATTTCCATCGCTTCCTGACTCTTTCTATCAAACTTTTGGTCTAGGGAAGATAGAAGAAAACTTCGGTGTTGCAGAGGGGGAAGGTTAGAGAGACAAGGAGGGTGATAAGCTAGCTAGTGGAGGTGTAACTAGGACTGCTCTTGTTCTTCGTCAAGTGACTCAGATCAACAAGTTGCCACCTTAGCATCTAAATGAGATCGATTATCTTGTAAATTCCTATCCTTTTAATCAAATTTTAGTATGGCCGGATAAGAAAATGTATTTGCTGGTACTGCTTTACAGTTTGGAAGGTGGTGCCTTGGTGGCGGGCGCTTCATGTTTGGGTAGCCCCAAACAAAATGAAGGGGAAGTTGAGGGAGTTTGGGTATAGCAGGTATAACTCATAATTAGTATAGCAGGTATAGCTCCTAATCTCTCTCTCTCTCTCTCTCTCTCTCTCACAATCAAGGCTGCCTCTTGCTTTATAAAAGACGATTTCAGTTACTAAAATTGACTCCTATAGTACATATTATTCCATTAGTGCATTAATGAATTAGGAAAAACTAATATGGAAAAGTTTTTGGTGAGTTAGTGGACTCATGCGCCCACACTGGTTTTCAGGGGTTTTAGGACTCAAAACACATTTCACATTACTGCAAATCCATTTCTGCTTAAGATTTTAGATTTTGGAGTTCATAAACAAATTCAAATTGGGTGATATTTGAAGAATTGAATTGAGCAGTTAAAAGAACGTATGAGAAGAATCATTTTTAAGGCTCAAAAATCACTCTTTTCCAGCTTCATGATTGCCATGGATGGGATAACAGAGTCTGTAAAGTTTTTGATCCAAAATCAAAACTGTATGCACCTAAATCCTGGACGCACCTAAACCCTACCCATCTAACAGAGGCATAAATGTATGTCCACCTAAACCCTACCCATCTAATCAGGCATAAATGTACATCCCACAATTCAAATTTCAATTTTAAACGTGCAATCGTTAAATATGAAACTAATGAGAGCAAAACTGGATGTTCCACAATTCAAAATTAAATTTTAAAAGAGGATAACAATTTTGGTATAATATGATAAGCTACCAAATAAGGTTCCAATGCTTTAGCCTCCCTTCCTATCCCCTCCCTTCCTCCCTTTTTGAATAATATGATAAGCAACCAAATAAGGCCACAATGGTTTAGCCTCCCTCCCTTTTGGAAATACGATGATGAGCTACCAAATAAGGCTCCAATGGTTTAGCCTCCCCTCCCTCCCTCCCTCCCCTGCAATCACATCACACAAGGCACCTAGGCTCCGTGCAGGCCAGCTAGGCAAGAGCCTCATGGGCCCAGCCCAGGGCAGGTGCTGAAGGTACCCCTTTTGTGGAACACTCTTGCTGCTATCATTGACAGATTTCTTAAATTTAATCTCAATAATTGAAACACAGTTAGCACTGTGATTTAACCTCCATTAGAGTCTAGATTTACAAATCATAGCACAACAATATAGAATGCAAAGGACGACCTTACTTGAACAGGATCTGTTCTATAGGTTGTACATCCGTTGCCATTGACACAATGGAGACACACACAACAATCTGGAAGATCACACAATGCCACGTGGCTACAGTGTGAATACTGGCTTGGGGACCAAACAGGGCTCCATCAGCCCTAGAGGATCGCTGTCATAGAGCCAACGGCTGTTGAGATGGCCACATGGCAGTCTGACAGATAAAAATATTTTAAACAATTTTCAAAAAAAAAAAAAAACAATATAGAATGCAAAGGTATTTGTCTAAAGCATTTTTCAGAGTTAGCTTATTGGATGTCGCAGACAAAAAAGGCAAGAAATTACTCTGAAACTGCAAAGCCCAATCTGGGCATTGGATCCAAAGGGAATTAACATTGAAGCAGAACGATATAAAATCAAAATCTATCAATTACATACACAGGTACCTTTGATCAATATTGGGTAAAGTTTAATTCTCTAATGAGCCCTGAGGCGCCCAATGAGCCACTTTTATAGGAAAATTAGATGGATCCCGTATGTCTTAATCATACATGGACAGCCAATAGACTTATATTCAAGGCGCAACTTTCTGAATTTTTTGCATTTGGATCATGGTCGACACTGGAGACCCCCTTTAAAGCTTATGTTTATCAGTCACCTGAGATGTCAGATTTCTATGTCTATGTTTGTAATTTTTATTTTTCATGTGGACCTTTCTATTTCATATATGAATTATTATTTCTCAAAAAGAAAAAAGAAAAAACTAGCTTGGTGTGCTAAGGATATGCCCAAACGAAACAAAAAGGAACAGCTGTGATTTTGTATTGGACAATCATGGTGTTTAAGCAAACATGTTTCTTTACATACAGATGTCAGATTATTCAGTTGATACAATCAACTTGCATGCTTGTGTATATTATTGACTACTAAGCACCAACAATGGATTACTGTCCATAATTCTCAAGCATTTAGAAGTGTCTAGATATTTTTACATAATTACCATTTTTAAAAGAGAAGTGTGAACAATTGGGTCTAAAAATAGAACAACACATACTAATTTATCATTAAAGAGAAAGCTTATACAGAATAGAATGAGAAGAACACCATGAGGAATAACATCGAGCAATAAAAATGAAAATATCATCCAATTGTTGTTGTACATTTGAATCTTGAGCCTCAAGCAAACCAGCTAAACAGTGCTAAAAAGATACAAAAGAAATCATTTTAATCACTGACCTTCTAATGCATCGAAGAACTCGTTCTGGCAAGAAAGTGGCTCATGCTTCAATATCCCCCGTAGCAAACCAGAGTTCTCCTCTCCATCACTAAAACTTGCAACACTAACGGCGTCCTTAGGATCATAAAATTCCTCAAATTCCGACACCCTTTCTGACCCAATAGCCAAATTTCTAGGTGATCCAACCTTATCAATCTCCACATTCACAGCTCCATCCCCTCTTTCAACCTCCCCCATCTCAGTCAAACCACAGGAGCCATCAGGTTTTTCCTCACAATTGGTTGAGTTAGCATTTGAAACATTTTCCGATTCAATCTCGATTTCTGATTCTTCAGTTTCAGCGAAGCGTCGCCCTCGCCGCTTGTATTTAACAACATAAGGAGAAGGTGAGGTCGAATACAGGGAAGGGGAATCAGGTATTCGGGTGGATTCAGGGGTTGTGTAGAGAGCAGGGGATACACAAAAGACGGGGAATTTCTGGCCTTGTGCTGTTGGAACAGTGGTGCTGTTCTTTTCTTGTTTTGGGGGTAAGGTTTTCAGAGTAGAGGATCGGATAGAAGGTTCTAAGAGACTATCTAAAGCTATGGTGGTAAAGGTAGGCATCTTCAAACTAAAGAGTTTTAGAGAGGGATTTCAAAAACTATCGAATGGAAAGCAGCGAGTTTTAGAGAAAGAGATTTCAAAAACTATCGAATAGAAAGCAGCGAGTTTTAGAGAGAGATTTCAAAAACTATCCAATGGAAAGCAGCGAGTTTATAGAGAGATTTCAAAAACTATCGAATGGAAAGCAGTTAATTTTAGAAAGACAGATCAAAACCCTAAAATCCAAAGAAACAAGGATTTAACCTTCCGATGGAATCCATGGATAATGAAAAAGTCAAAACTGAAAAGGAAGCTCGAAAGAGAGCAAAACCTAAAATCCAAAAAGCCCTGACCTGAGAAACAAGGATTTCATCTTCAAACGATTGAAGCCACGGATATTGAAAAAGTCAAAATTGAAAAGGTCGCCCTGGTTCGAAAGACAGATGAGAGGGGAACCAGAGAGCTAGAGAGACAAACCCTAGTCTCGGTTCAAAATACACTCCATACTTGAATGACGACATTAATTACTCTGCTCTCTCCACAAGTCTGGGAGATAGCAGAATGGACGTAAATACCCCCGTCTTTTACTCATTTTTGCGTTTTTTTTGTGAAAGTAGTTTATGAGAGGGGAGTACGCATTTCAACATTTGAGTCCCCTAATGTATCAAAACATTGATAAGATGGATCTAAAGTTGTGCTTCCTACTAAAAGAATATAATCTAACCGTACAAAAAAGTTTCCAAAAATTTTTGGTTTTAGTTTTTGAGTAATGATGATAAGAAGGTCTCCCTTTATATGTGTAGGATTTAAAAGGACCATCATTACAATTAGTACATATCTCTAAAAAAGTTATATCATAGACGTGGGATTTGACTTTTTTATATATCCGTGTTAAATTTAATAATGATTATTTGAAGTCTTAAACACATGAGTGGGGAGGGTCTTATAGGATCATTTCTCTTAGTTTTTTTCTATTTAATGGTCTCCATATGAATATATTTAGGAAAAAGTTTATATAGTGCGAAGGCTTTAAACAATTAAATTAGAGCCTATATACAAAATTTCACTAGTTGTCTTGATGCCCAAATATCTTCAAATTGATCATCTCGATATCAAGATGCATGAACATGAAAAAAAAAATGGATTTCAAGTTTTTTGAAGTAGTGCATCTTGTAATACATTTTTTGACCGTCAATTTTCAATATTTGAAATTTTTTATAGATCTGCTTGATCTACACTATTTTTGAAGCTTAAAATTTTATAGTTAAAGATAAAAATATATTTTAAGGCTATCACAATGATCTCCAGTATTGAAACAACATTTCTTGATACTATTTGAAAGTGGATTTTACTTTGATTGTTTAGAGCCTCGGCTCTATAAACCGCATCCATATTTATATCTAAAAACTTAGGCCCAAAATCCGTCTTAAAAATTGATACATAAAAAAAAAAAAGAGGCCTCGTACGTAACATGGGAGCCCTAGGTCTCATAGAAAAACTTGTCCGTTTGTTTTCGTTGTTCTTTTGAGCGGGAATCACGTTTGGTGCGGAAACGTACGCACTATAGACATGATTAGGGAATCATTATTCTATTATTATTTTTGAAGCCTAAAGAGAATGAAATTGTTTTCCAAAAGCTTACAATATGTTGGGTGCAGTTTGCATAGCGATGCATACTAGGCGTAGAGGTAAGGTGCACCGTTAAATTTTATCAGGGGTAGAGGTAAGGTGCACCGTTAAATTTTATCATGCTATATAATTTTGATGTAAAATATTTTTAGTATTATCTCAAAAATCTATTTTTATATCTAATTATAAAATTCTAAATATTAAAAATAGTTAAAATCAAATAGAACTATAAACATATGAAAATCTTGAAAATAGATAAGGTACATAATATGTTCTAAAATACATTATTTTTAAGACTTATTTTTGAGGTTCATCCATAGTTCTACATTATAAGGGGCATCCTTAAACAATCTTTTTCCTTATATGTTATGTTTACGTCGTCTATGCTGACTTTGTCTTGCTTCTTTATTGTTACGAAAAGCCCCTTGTACAGTTCACCCCACTCAAGACATGGTCATTGACATCTGGCTCTTGTTTGTTCCATTCATTTCTAGTGCTTTGTCTTCCCATTTTTGGGGCATTAAGTTATTTGACACCGTGTACGAGAAGTCAGCGGCTGACTTACTCGGGCTCGGGCTCTTTCGGGCGCGAGTTGTCCCAAGTTAGGGTCTAACTTGTAGATTTTAAAAAAAATTAAAAAACTTATTACTCGGGCTCAGGTAAATGGACAAAGGTTCCCAAAACATTGTGGACAAACGCATGCAAAGAAGTTAATCCAAAATAATAAGATTTGTCTAGCCGCATTGAATGCAAAACACTTACAGGTAAAAATATAGAGTTAGTAGATACAATGAGACGAAAGAGAATAAATGTAATCTGTCTACAATAAAATAAATAAAAAGAATAAAAAATTAAAGAAATAGATGAATATATATTTTGGTATACATGAAAATAATAATAATAATAATGACATAGGCACAATAGTGGATAAAGATTTAAAAGATAAAGTAGTCAATGTCAAAAGAATAAACTCATATTAATTAAACTTGTATTAGCTAAAGAAATAATTAATATAATTAGTGTTTATGCACCACAAGTATTAGATAATAGATTATAAACAATATTGGGAAGACATGGATGGAATAGTCCAATATATACAAAATGGAGAGTTGACACTTTTAGAAGGGAAGGATAGTAAGACATGTGAAAGGGTACATGGGAGGTATAAGTTTGGGGAAAGACATAAGATGCGTGAGGCTATTCTAAATTTTGATATGGCCTGCGACCTAGTAATAACAAACACTTTAAAAAGCGAGACGAATATTTAATAGCTAATAAAAGGAGATCACCTAAAATTCAGATATTCTTATTAATTAAGAAGGTAGATCGACTGTCATGTAAAGACTTCAAGGTCATCTAAAGAGAGAGCTTGGCTACTTGACATAGGCTCGTAGGTATGGACGTTTGGAAGAGAATGGGTGTCCAATAAATAGGTGGTAGAATTTATAATGAGAAAATAGGCTTATTAAATGATAAATTAATTAAAGAATAAAAATATAACTCTGAATATGAGGTCAATTTTATGTGGAATGAGATGAGTAATTGTATTAAAAAAGTGGCAAAATAAGTTTTTGGGAAAATCTGGTGGCAAAGGGAACTTGGTGGTTGAGTGATTAGGTTCAAAAGGCTATTAGCAAAAAACAACCATGCTATAAAACTTAACAGTGTAATAGAATGATCAAAACATAGAAGAATATAAAAATGCTAAAAAAAAAACTAAGTAAGGCTAAATTTAAGAGTAATTTCAGTAATATCTCTTTGATGTTATTTAAGAGTAGTAAGTGTTGATATTTACTTGCTAAACTGTAAGGGAATCAGATGTTATTTAAGAGCAATATGTCCTCCAACAAATGAAAACCCGGTCTCCCCATCCTTCCGATCTCGTTATTGCAATAAAATTTGTTGGCAGTCTTGAAACAAAAGAAATAGAAAACAAATCAAGACCTCCATCTAACGCTTTGCGCTGTAATCCAGGACGATCCCTTTCCAGTAAAATTTATGTACACTTGGCGATGTAATCCAGGACGATTTCCAGAAAAATTTATGTGCCAGTACTGAGAAACAAAAGAAATAGAAAATAACTCAACACCTCTATCTAATATTCAAAAAAAGAAAAAAAAACAAACACCTCTATCAGAGAGAGAGAGAGGTTATAATCTCTTAGATGGACCGGCCATTACCAAAAATGAAATCAATAGCACCGTCGCGGCAGGAGCCATAGAAATAATGGAGGCCATGCTCGTCGAGTAGGGTATCTTGATACCCATAGAAGCTGCAGTTATAAAATGCAACTCAATCCCCGAACACCCCTAGCGCCACTGCTTGGCCATTTCCAGGACTTGAGGCTGAATTCTACAAGAAACAAAGCAAGGTTTCATATTTCCTAATCAAACACGATAAAATGCGTTTTATTTGTTGTTTGTGTGTTCTAGATCACATGAAGTCCAAACAGGACTCAAATAAACTCAGATTACAACATGCCTATATAAGCTAAGAACTCAGATCACAACATGCCTAAATAAGCTAAGAACTCAGATCACAACATGCCTATATAAGCTAAGACCAGGAGTCGATGATATCTAACTGATGTGTTAAAGTACAGTGTCCTATGACTTAATGCTACAGGAGCCCATGTGGCAAGTCGTAATAAATTTAAGGGGACCAAACCCTCTAAACCCTATACCCTAAACCTAAACCCCAATCTTTACTGACAGTCGAAAATAGTTATATTCACCCGACCATTGGTCCATTTTACAACCCTGTTGAACCATCTTGAATTGAGTATCAATTTACGTAATTATAAGCCTAACATCCAAATTTTTTAACATTAGACATCTCCTGAAAGTTCATTGACTGTCAAGTATTGTTATTAACCATGACCTTCAGTCGAAAATTAAGCAAACTCAGATCCGGATAAAATTTTGTGGTTCTTATTAAAGGTGATACAAGCTTACAATCAAAATTTTATCAAGTAAGGTGATGTGGAATATTAACCTCCCCTACAATAGAATGTCAAGTGAACGCTTTTCTAGGTTTTCTGATCTTTTGATGGTGCTTAATGAAGTTTATTTCTTTTATATGACGGTTGATGAGGTTGTTCGAGATATTGATAGGAGAAAGGTTTTTATACTTCCTCGACAACATAGAACATCTATAGGTTTTTATATTTCCTCTACAACATAGAACATCTATGCTTTCCCTACCATTCAGCCATCCAATTTTGATCAAGAGAGCCACTCATCGTTTGATCTTAGATCCGACGTCTCAAAGTATTTTATTTTTAGTTTTTTTCATACAAATTGCATGAATATGAAATTTGATATGTAACATCTTTCCATTGGGGCGCAACTATAAAAAATATTAAAAATAAATTTTTGATAAAGTATAATAACCAAAATACTTCTTGAAAATTTCAAAAGTATTTTGATCATTTTATTTTATTAAAAATATTTTGTTTATATATTTTTTACTAGTGTGAGTCTAATAGAGGATTAGACGAACAAATTTTTGTGTCAAAATATGTAATAAAAATAAATAAAAATAAAATAATGTCAAGATTTGACATTGTGAAGGGGTAATCTTAGCCCTCCATTCAAAATGGACGGTTGGATAAAAGGAAGTATATGAGCCATTCAAAATGGACGGTTGGATAAAAGGAAGTATATGAGTTTTATGTTGCAGGGGAAGCATAGAAAGCTTGCCCCAAACTAGTTACACTCAGCATCCCGCAGAGGTACTGTCCTCACGGCCTTCCTTCCTAGGTTCCGTGTTTCTGTTATTTCGATCGGAGTGAGGACCGTAGAGACCACTGTTCAGTAAAAGTTTCGCAACAATGGCGCGAAGTTCTCAGGTAACCCAGACGATCCATTTCTGTTATTTTTCTATCGCTTTATGTTTTGATTTTTTTTCCTCAGAGTTTTATTAGAATTTTCATGATATGTTAATTTTGTCTGTATTTTATCTGAAGGAATCGGAGTGGGAAACGCCCTTCACATTCTCTTTTTTGCGTCAAAACCCTAGCTCTGCTGTTACTGAGAAAACCGTATCATATTCGGAAAAGCCTGTTCCCACACTTCCTCCTTGTACAGAAGTTATTTTCACAGAGGTCTCTCTCTCTCCAAATTTTTTTTGGAGCTATTAATTTTGTACACATAAACATAGATACTTGATAGGGCTTATGGATGGATCCATGTATTCTTGCTTTAGGAGCCAATGACTGTAGTCCTTCTTTCTTTTTTTTTTTTTTTTTGTAGATTTTCGTTCTCCACAAATTTGTTTATATTTGTTGTCTACATGAATTTTTATATTGATAAAGAATTAATGGTTTCTAATTATTAACAGGTTGCCCCATCTGTGAAATATGCCACTGAGCCTGTTAATCTGAATGAAGGGATTACTTTGCTTAAGGTAGTTTTAGATTGATGATATATTTTATAGATGCAATTTTATGGTGAAAGTTGAGTAGTTCAATTTTATGGTGAAAGTTGATGCAATTGACAACTAGAAGTGATCAATTCGATTGTCTTTTATTGTTCTTGTGTGTTTTGAATCTGCATTCTCTTCAGATAATGTGTTTAAACTTATTATTGAAGTAGACATTGATGCAGTTCACTTTTTGTTTTCTTTTTAAAGGGTCGAGTGAGTACTTCTGATGTTTTTGGTGCATCCAACTCAGACTTGATACCTGGGAAGTATGAAGGTCGTCTAGGATCCTATTATGCCAATTTCTTTTAATTTTCGTTTTTCTGTATTTACTCTAGGTTTCCTTAATTTGTTTACCGGGAACTTTTGCAGACCTATTAATATATTAATGTTTTGCTTTTGTGGAAATCAGGGGGCTTAAAGCTCTGGGAATGTTCACTTGATCTGATTAAATCTCTGGCTCTGGAGATTCAGAATGGGCAGTTATCACTTGAAGAGAAGAAAGTATTAGAGGTGCGATGTTTATGATCAGGTGACGATGTACTTTCTGAGGCTGTTAAGTTAATCCTTCTATTTTTGTACCTATGTATCTCTTTCCTTTTTCTATTTGATACTCGTAAGTATACTTATTGCTCATTCTTTTATTTGTGGCAAATGGGATCTTTCAGACTTCGATTACATGGAAAAAGAACTTCGCTGCTTTATAGTTTTTGATTTTATATTACCAAATTTTCTTACTACGAGCACAGAAGTCCTTGTATATGTAGAGAAGAAAAGGGCAACATAACATGATTTAGATTCTTTACAGCACTACCTAACGGTGACATATTGGTCACTGTTTAAACATGTCTCAAATGTGACATACCTGGCACAAGTGTTCATGAGTCCGGCACATCTGTGGAAATGCAGACAGGTGTCTAAGGATTGTTTTGCTTTTTTCCATGGAGACATGTTAATATAGCATTTCATGGATGATATTTGGGACTCAAAAGTGGTGATCTCACTTCTTATCATGCGTTGACACATAAGGACATGCATGTTGATGGTGTTGATGCAACTACCATTTCAGTTTACATAAATGTCATTTTCTAATTTCCCAGTCAGCACGTGTTTCTGAAAAGCAACAGGCATCTGAGTTTGTTATTTTTAAGGACTTTTTTTGTCTAGAATGGAGATGGCGAAGTGGTTGGTTGGTGGAGACTAATGGTGGAAGTGTGGGCTTGAGCGAAACTATGTGTCCCAAGTAGGCAAGAGTACATTAGGTTGTTTTCTGTCCATTTTTTAACGAAGAGATGGTTTCTTTTCCATCCGATTAAAGTTGGATACACAGCCCAATCTGGGGAATATCATTGTTTCTTGGAAGAGGTTATCAGGTCTTGCCAATAACATTCATCTCTCTCTCTCTCTCTCTCCCTCTCACACACACACACACACACACACACACACACACTCACACACACGAATGCATGCACACACACACACGCATGCACGCACACGCACAGACGCATTCACGAACACGCACTGATGCATGCACACACTAGTGCAAAGCCAATGTCCACACAAGCCCAGCCAAAGTGAAATCCAGTACTCAGTGAGGGTGCATACTACAAAAGGGAAAGACATGTGAAGGTGAGAGAGACAGTGGAGATATGAAGTCCTGGGAGATTTCTTGGAGCACTTCAACTATAAAAGTTTGAAGAAGACAATACAAAATGAAAGAATTGAAATCTTTATAAAATTTTGATCCCTTCATTGTTATGGATTCATGCTTTTGATTGTTTATACGGGATGATATTGAAAGTTTTCTAGAAACGCTTCCAACAAGGCATATAGTAATATGATAAATATGAAGGAAAATCAGGGCCTGCGTAAAATATCACACCTTTATTGTCTAATGTTATATTGAAAGGAGATCCTAAATACTACAATAATGAATCATACATTTGGATGCTGTCATGGAAAAGAAAACCTAAATAAAAGGGAAACCAGAAAACGTCTTGTGAGTTTGTACAGGTCAATAAAATTTAAATCTAATCTTTTAAAAAGCTTGTGATTGGATAGGTTTCTCTCCCCGTGTGGGATGATCAAATATAGAGTAGGATAAAAAAACTTTCAGCATCAGATACTTTTGGATAATCCATTACTTTCTTATTGTGGTGTACAGATTGGATGCGGCCATGGACTTCCAGGAATCTTTACATACCTTAAGGTAAAGCACCTGCCAAAAAATCAGTAACCTTTGCTATTGAACCTTTTGATCTTAGTACATTTCCAAATCATTAAAATTTGCTATTTAAACTTTTGTATTCAGGGTGCAGCTACAGTTCATTTCCAGGACTTCAATGCCGAGGTCCTGCAATGCCTTACTATACCTAATGTTAAAGCAAATCTTTCGTCAACACCAAGCAACCAATGTACTTCATCTGGAATTGACCGTGATGCATACTTAACAACTGATGTTCGTTTCTTCTCTGGTGACTGGAGTGAGGTACATAATCTGCTCTCTGTTGCACGTGATGCAGAGCTCTTTGGAACACGGGATTCCAGTCTCAAGCAGGAATCTTCTGGTGGTTATGACATCATTCTAATGGCAGAGACTGTATATTCACTTTCCTCTCTGCAGAAGCTGTATAATCTTATCAAAATGGTTGGTTAGGTTTGCCCTGTGCTGATAGAAATATAAAATGTTCTATCACCTCTTTTGTTTTGAACTTTTTTTTTTAGGTAACTTCTATTAGTTTGGATTTAAATCTGTGGATTCTTATGCAGTGCTTATGCTGGCCAAATGGGCTTGTTTATTTGGCCGCAAAGAAGCATTATTTTGGAGTAGGTGGTGGAACAAGACAGTTCAGATCCATCGTGGACCATGATGGTAAAGTTTAAGACTGCACTAAGTTTCCATTTTTTGTTTCTGTGAACTCTAAATGGAGTTTCAAATGTGAGGCTTAAGCGTAATTTTGTCAGATGGGCTAGAACGTTACTGGTCTCTTATGTGCAAATACCATGTATGTTATGGCCATTGGAAAAGCTTCAAATAGGTCTATGCATGTAATCATTTGTATGAGAAAAAGTTTAAAAGCAAATTATTGTTAATCGGTATTTCTTTGACATGGTCTAAGAAGGATGAGGACTTTAAACTTTCCCTTAAGCCGTCCCAAGCCCAGGTAAAGGAGGTGGGTTGTGTTAGGTATGCAGCCAGTGTAAAGCTTTGCCAAAACTTATCAGTATTTCGTTAACATCAATTATAGACATGTTTACCCTTAGCGGTTTTTTAGAAGCTGGAATCAGTTTTGGGCTTGGCCATGGCCTGAGCCTAGTCGGCTCAATGAGTGCGGCTGATTTAGTTTAACCTTAATCAACATTAAAGGAAGTTTTGTGGGTTTTTGGAGGTGGGCTTCTATGCACATCTTCTTCCAGTCCCTCTGTCTCTCTAAAGGCACCCTTCAATTGCATTGTAGATCTTCAAACATTGTAGACCTTCAAATATTTACTCCAAGTTCGACAAATTTCTCTTTCTTCATCCCCAAACCCTCTAAATCTATCTTCCTAGTTATTGTTTCATCTCTTAGAGGTCTGAAAGCACACCAAAATTTCTCAGAAAATAAACAAATCCATTTTAGCGCCTCATGATACTCAAGCTACTCGCGAAAATGGGGAAAGAAAACCAGCCCAAGACCCTAAAAAATTCTAAATCCAAATACCCACAAAACCTTAATCCCTCTAAACACCGTGAGAATCCTAATCCATGTAACTGCTATCAAATTCCTAATTCACCTTTCAATGAGCTCAAATCCAAAAACACACAAAACCCAGTCGTTTTAAACACCATCAAAACCTTAATGCATCTACTAACCAGCTCAAGTCCAAAAACCCCACAAGATAATCCATCTAAGCACCATCAAAACCCTGAACCAGCTTTTAACTAGCCCAATTTCAGTAATCGGCAAAATCCTAATCCATCTGATTACAATGGAAACCCCATTATGTGGTTTAACAATTTTTTAATTGGATGTGCTAACTAAAACAACAAGGAAAACAAAAACAGCCAGGCTTGGCAAATCCTGGTCGACTTGGCCAGGATTCGGGAACTCAGCTAAGTCCGGCTGAAAACTGGCCTGTTCACTACATTGAACCAGCTGGCTCTTATTGATGGTCCCTATTCTCCCGATTCAGGATTCTCTGGACACCGAGTTTTCATCTCTGATATTTACAAAAGCGAATTTTGTTGACTCCTTGTTGGAAAAGAATGTATAATCAGCAAAAGGTGGAAAAATTAAATTTCACGCTTCAAGCAATCGAAGGACCATAAGGGCCATTATCTCAGTTATCATCAAAAGCAACAGAGAGTTGTATTTTCTGATCATTACTTAGAGCCTAACAGTGGGCTATGGCTGTGAAAATCTGTTCTGCCTTCTTCTTTTCTTCCCCCTTTTTCTGATCCTGATCTTTATCAACTTGCAGGTGTCCTGGTAGCCTCTCTGGTTATGGAAGTTGCAGATGGAGCATCAAATGTTCGAGAGGTGTGGAAGTTCTCTTTTAAGTAGATCTGGCCATGTTGAAGTAAGGTGACATCCCTATGGTATTATTGAGGTCATTATTTTTATGTGTGTATTTGTAGCTAGTGGTTTTCCATGGTCAGATAGATGAAGTGTTTAAATAGATTATTATGACAAGTAATCCAGTACCTTAAGACTTAAGGTGGATTTTATCTCACTGATTTCTCTGGAAACAAATCAACATTTTGATCTTTTCCCTTGGTTCTAATTGTAAGATTCTGATTTTATAATTAGCTCTTTTACTCTACTTAAACTTCTAAAAATCTCGGGAATGCAGCAAATTTACCTCTTGTATTTATATGCATAATCTTTCAATCTTTCTTATACTTGCATGCCATCACAGACATTATACATTTGTTTCTATAGCTGCATGTAAGTATAGTTATCCACCATTTTGACGTTCATGTGTTGGGGTTGTATATGAAAAATTAGAGCTACAAAACCTTTTACACCCCCATAAATAAAAATCTAGCCGCTCATATTATCGAAGGGGCCTTCTGACCTCTTTTGTACATGACTCAAGGTACAACTGAAATAAGAGGGCCAACTTACTATTCTGCCCTTCCCTGCTTCTCATTTTCATAATTGAGATAGGGATGCTCCATCATGTTTGATTTGTCCAGTGATGCTTCTCTCTTGCGTTTCTGTATTGGTTTCCCAAGTACTCAAGAAAATAAACAAAATAATAGGAGGGAACCTCAAGGCAACTCAGCTATCCATCATTAATGGGACAGCTCAACTGCCCAATTTCAAGGCATTTTAGAAAAGGGGCAACTTGGAATGACATTCTAATATTTTATATAAAAGTGACATGGCATTCTAATCATTTTTCCCTGCACCCCAACCAACCCATGCCCCCAGGCCAGAACCAAATATGTAAAATGACTCATTCTGTAATTTCAGAGGTTCAGGTCATTTGTGGGGTGTAAGTAATTTTATTCATGGAGATGAAAATTTCCCTTAAATTACTGGTTGGAATTTTGTTATATGAATTATTTAACTGATTCATGTTTAATATGTTTTCATAAGTTTTTGTTAATCAAAATTTCTACCGATTTTGGGCAATGTATATCGTAAGTCATTATATTTTTGAGCTGTTAATTATTTAGCTTGGTTTGATAAAATTACATATCATTGAGGAAAATAAATTCTTGCTATTGCTTTATTTTTCTAGAAAATGGAATGATTTTTTCAGTAGTTCCCTGCAAATTTTTGCAACTATGATGTTATAAATCTTGAGTTCTAATTGGGGTCTTAAACGTTTTGACTAAAGATAATTGCATTATTATTTTTATTTTTATTTTTTACAATGAATAATTTACAAATGTGTAAATGTACCTAACTACGTGAAATAATGTATGATAACCATAGATGTTTGTGTTTCTCTAATGGCTTAAAAGATTATTCTCCTCTTTTTAACAAATTTTTAGTAGGTAACATTTCCATGCACTCTGGACATGGTTATTTAGTGCATGTAGACACGTTCCCAAGAGATGTGGTTTGCAGTGATGCATTTCATGAGCTCAGAAAAATGAAACAATGTGTAACAGAGTTTGCTTCGTTTCTTTTTTTTCCTAAATTTCGACTGGTAAACTAATCTGCTATTCATATGCAGAAAGATGAAGTTTTGCACTTTGAGGAACGGCGAACTGTGTTCATGTTATTCTGTACCATTGAAACCCTTGGCAGCATTGATAAACAAGACTTGCATCTACAATTGCATGAGTCATTGATATATTTTTCATTCTGTCGGTGAATTGAGATTTGAACTTTCACCCATGTGCTCAATCTCTAAGCCAGGAGGCTGAACTGCTTAAATATTGGCAGTTCCTTTTTAGTTATTCATTTATATACTTGCACAGATTATTCCTCATCTTAATGATATGCTCATATTGTTTTGCATTTTATTCCCGAGAAAAAGTGGAGAACATGCAGCTTATGTGGTATAGCTAAGTATATCCCACAACCGAGCAGTACTTCATTAATAATCCTTCAATGCATCGTAAATTGCAAATTGTAGCTTAAGCTTAACTGCCTATTTTATACATCCTCTTCAAATTGCATGACAATTTGATGTATTGGCACATGGATACTATTGCATGACTTTCAACTTTTTAGAATGGGATCGATTGGGGGATGTTGATTTGTGGTTCTATACGATTTAAATATGCAAATCTCTCCAAATGGGCTGGTTGGTCCTTCTGTTTTGTTTTTAGGTATAGGGCATAAATGAAAAGAAAAATAAGAAAAAAGTGAAAATTTGTGTTGAAGTATGAAAATGTTGAAGAAGAAGAGACATTGTATTGCCTCTAGACTTTATACTGAAAGCTGATTTTTGCCATGGTTTTAATCCAAGGGTTGAACTATATCTGTAATGGCTGAGCAGATACGTCCGTCATGTCAGTTTCCTGGTTTAATTTAAACAAAAATGTCCGTTTTCCTTTTGGAAAAAAAAACAAATGCTTGTTTTTCATCAAGCAGGCTTTGGATCTTGGCCAGTAGTAGTCAAAGCGTAGGAATTGGGAATTGGATCTTGATATCTTTTTTTTGCGTTACGGAAATTATACTATTTTAGTGCTGTGATTTTTATCTAAAATTTGGGTTCAGATTATTCTAGGTTTGAATTTTGTAATAACTGATGACAAGAATCCTAGGTCTTGCCCTTCATTGGCTTGTTTGAGTTCACCTCATGTTTGTTGAAACTTGGCGACTGAAATGCCTTTTACTGGTGCTACATTATATTTGATTTCAACAGTTCTTTTTGGTATATTTTTTGTTTATATAACACCTTTAAATGTTTGAGCTTAAATTATGCTTCTGTAGCCTTCTTTCTTTTCCCCCATTTTTTCCTTGGACATTAATACCCTCAACAGGAGTTTGCCCTTTTATTGAATCGTTGGTTGTATTTCATGTTGTAATCATATGTTTTTCTTTATTATATAAAAAAAAATCATATGTTTTTCTTTAATAGTGGTAGCCTTTTTTCTGCTTTTTCCTTTGTCTCCTGTAGGGATTTTCATTTGATATCCTAACCTTCTTTCCGTTTTTCCAATAGTATTAGAAGGCCCTTGGTTGCATAAAGGTTGCAACATTAAACAATCAAATTTAGTGCACTTCTGAACTTTGTCATGAGATACAATTTTGGTGTCCAAGATTCCTGGGTTGTTGTGACAATTTATTTTTATCTCTAATAATAAAAATTTAAACTCCAAAAAGAGTTCAAATCAAACAAATTTATAAATGCATGAAAATCTTGAAAATGGGCGGTCCATATAATATGTTGCCAGATGTATTATTTTTAGGGCTTGAAATATCTTTTTTTTTCTCTAGATCTATACATCTCGATGTTGGGATGATCAATTATATGTTTTTCCAACATTAAAACAACTTTTTTCGAAGGATTTTAGAGGTGTACCTTAATTTTATATTTTAAGGTATCAACCTTATATAAACTGTTTTGTTATTTATTTAATTATATATGAAAAACTTTATTGGCTCGCATTTTATATTCCATTAATCTATTGATTTATACAACGGGGTGGTTAGTGCTACTAAAATTTAAAAAAAAGAGATTCCAAGACACCACTACGATCTGTGAACAAACCTTTTGACATTATGTTTAGTGAGTGATATGTGCTCGTCTTTGATTGCATAAAATTAGATGCTGATATAATATTGGATTAATAAGTGACGTGTGCTCGTCTTTAGTTTCATAAAACTGGAGAGGGTGATATACTATGGTTTTTCTTTACTCTTTTGGTTTCCATTTCTTGCGTGAACTATGTTGCTTGGATATAAATAAATGGGTAGCAGTGTTGGGAAAGTTGACTCGTGCTGGCTATTCGGCCCATGGCCCGAGCCGAGTACTAGCCTGAGTTTGAGTAACTCGGCCCGGGTACTGCTGAGTACCATAACACTGAAAATTATTGAAACCACAAATACTTTTAATTAGATCTTCTACCGGTGCATGTGTGTTTTTCATAGGAACACAGCATATGTGATGCCCCCGTCGGACAAACATACCGAGCTGCTGAGGAGTCAACAGCGACCATGGAATCCATCAAATTTTGTAGAACTACTATTGGTAGTTCACTCTTCCATCACCTTCCAGCCATTCATTAGATGGTGATAACGCGCACTTCCACATGTCCCATTTGGTCACGTGGATAATAGTTTATTGTGGTCTTCTTTGATTGTCTATGATGTCTCCTAGAAGTTTCCACAAAGTGTGAGTGGATGGACGGTGAGTCAGCATGAGGGGGCCCAAGGGGGCAATTGTATAACTTATCTATTATATCCATTGGGACTAAGGAACCAAAATTGGAAGATGATACTTGCAAGTAAAATGAGTTTCATCACGCGTAAGAGATAGAAAGTGGTTGCTTGAGAAGCACTCAAATCGTTGAAGTATTGAAGGGACAGATTACTTCTGAAGAATGCATGGATGAACCTATCAAACTTGGGAACAAATATTTTTTTTTTTTTTCTCAAAAAAGCTAATAAAGTTTCAAATGTTTTTAAAAGCAGTGTTTGACTATTTGGTACGAGTGCCAAGTAGTCGGGCCGAGTAGTTGGGTTTGGCACCCTGGCGAATTGAGTTAGCCCGATTGGGGTGTACCAAAAGAGGTTAAATAAATAATAATAATAATATATATATATATATATTTTATTTTTTCTATTTTGAAAAGTGTTGTGGCCATAAATACTTATTTTTACATTTTTTTTTATATTTTTTTGAATTATTTAAAAAGTACCTTAGTGACATTTTGATTTTTTTTAAAATCTATCATTTTGAAATCTTTTGTTTAATTTTACTTTAACCCTACATTTTCTATTTTTTTGAATTTTTTGTCTATAAATTGTTTTAAACGTTTTTTGGGGCTATAGTACTCGGCAATAGTACGCCTCCGGCATGGACGAGTACTCGGCCCGAGTGTGACCATTCCAACCCTGGTTGAGAGAGAGAGAGAGAGAGAGAGAGGCGTAATCCGCAGACACAGGAAGTAAATGTGTACGCGAAAGGGGACGCACATAACGTTTTGCTGAGTTTGCCACGACTACGCAGTCCCGTGACGGCTCACATATCCGATATGTGACCAAAACTCCACCCTCCCGCGACCCCTTGACCACGCCAACCTACTCTCTTTTGGGACAATGCCCCTCTCTCTCTCTCTCTCTATCTTCTGGGAAAATGCCGTCTCTCTCCTTTTGTGATTGTTCAGGGCTTGGTCTTTATATAATTGATTGTTCAGTGCTTCGTCTCTCCTTATTTGATTGTTCAGGGCTTGGTCTTTATATAATTGATTGTTCAGGGCTTGGTCTTATTTCTTTCTTCAATAGAAAAGAAATGGCTTTTATGAGTCCATATAGAAATGAGTTACTTCTTAGACATCTATTTTTGAGATGGATTTTTGGATTTAATTTTTAAACATGTGTAATTTTTAACATGGAGATCATGAATATAGAAAAATAGATAAATTTTAAAAATTTAAAATAATAATTCTATTAAAAAAATATTTAGACCGTTACTTTCAATTGTTTTTAAATAGACCACCTATTTGCATTGTTAAGATGAATGCTATGGGGGACTGCAAATGTAGAACTGCGGTCCCACCGAATGAAACAAACAATTTTGATCAGTAAAAGGCTCTCTCTCTTTCTCGTCTTTCACCAAATGGACCTCTCCCTCTCTCCCACTATGTTTTCTCTCTCTACCTTGTAAACGGCTCTCTGAAATGCAGTGTGCTTTTGTTCTCACTCCACGAATTACACCTAATTTTTTTGTTTGAATGATAGAATGACAACCAAATCACGTCATCAATAGCAAAACCACACTAAAATCACTCCCTATGCGGCTACGCTCCATTTTGAGTATTCCCTACTCCAATTCCCTTTCTTTCTCTAAACCCTAAAGAAAGCATGCCATTTTCTTTCCAAAACCCTCCACTCTTCCCGTTACAACATCCCCCGTGACCTCAAAACAAACTCATTTCCCTTCAACCAAACGCCCCCGTAACCCCTTTTAACGGAATCCACCGTGGAGTCGTTTCCTCTCTCTCTCTCTTAAACTTGAACATGACTTTCTAATACAACAAATAATCCTCCCCCCCCCATAAAACCAATCCTAATAATTCCCCTTTCCACTCACTCAAAAGTCTGAAGACTCTTAAACTAAAGCCCAATACCGCTCTCTGTCCCTCTCTAACCTGTCACCTCTCGAGCTTTCTTATTAAAACCAAGCCAAATAGCGCCCTCACCCTTCGGCTCTCATTCTAAGGGTCTAGTTTCAAAATGGCTGCTGGAAACCAGCTTTTCCGGCCGGATTTCACAGTTTCCGACCACTGCTACTTTGAGAAGAGGCAGCTCTTTCTGAGAAGCTACCAGTTTTGCCGTAAAAGAGGCCTCGCTGAGAGGATCAAGGGCTGTCTGGTCCGAGTCAAGAGAGCTGTCTGGTTCAAATTCCGAAAGGCTAGAAGATTCCGGCGACTTGTATGGCTAAGGTTCAGGTATGGATTTGGTCGAAAAAGGTTTCACAGGTTGGTGACAAGGCAAGAAACCAATGACTGGGTTTCATGTTGGTAGTTTTCCCCGTGAGGGGACTGGAAAACGGGTCTTCTAATTTATGGGTTGGGCCAAATATTTGGGTTTTTTTTTCTCTGTAAATAGATAGAACTAAACTCTTGGTTTAGTTTACTGTCTTCTTTCCTTTTCTTCATGATGATTCTCTTATTCACAATCATCTATCGTGTAATCTTGTATCGAAGTTTATTATGTAGTTTCGAAATGGATTCTCAGTGGCTTGATGAAATACTAAAAAGAACATGCAACGACTCTGAGATCATAGCTTTATTAACTAACTTCTCACTCTTTTATCCATTACTTTACTTCCATAGATATATGAACATCTATAGGCGAAGCCCTCTCTTTCATGTCATGTAATAATTAGTAATTACTTTAACTCGCTGGAAATATATTGATGACGGTCTAGGTGAGAAGTGCTCTGTTCCTCTCTCTCTCTCTCTCTCTCTCTCTCTCTTTAATTAATGGGC